TGATGGAATTTCGAATGAAACTTCTGCAATTAATGAAAATGATCCTTCATTGACTAGTGAAGAAGGTTCTAATATAACAACGCAGTCATCAAATAAGGGAGGATGACCACTAGCAACTATTTGGGATGAATACAACATAATCAATAATGGATTAGGAAAGCATAAAGGTGCAAGTTGCAAGTATTGTCCTACATCATGGGCTCGAGAAAGGGCTCAAGATATGCAATCTCACCTTGCTATGAAATGCAAAGAAAACGTACCAAGAGAAATTAGAATCAAAGTACTTAGAGATCTGCAGAGTGAAGACGATCCTATGCCATCAGGATCTAAACCTACCACTTTAAAAAAAAGAAAATCAAATCCATTGTTGTCTCTGGATGCCTATTATGATACGGTTGAAGCCATCGATAAAAGTAAAGAAGCAAGGGCCAATAAATTACTAATTAAATGGATTGTGAGTTCGGGTATTTCATTTTCGGCCTTTGACAATCCATATTTTGAAGATTCATAAAAATATTAAACTCTGAATATAATTCACCTAAATGTAATGCATTAGCATCATCAATTTTAAACGCAGAGGCAGCGAATATCATACTAAAAATAGAAAAAGAATTGTTTAAAGCTAAAAACCTTACTTTATGTATAGATAGTTGGTGTAGCCCATTAAAACATAGCATATATGCTTTTGTTATAGTAACGAATGAAAGAAAACAGTATGTTTACGCTTTACGAGATTTTTCAAAATTTTCCCACACGACAAAGTTCAATACTGAAAAAATAATAGAAGTTTTAAAAAATGTTGGTCCTGAAAAATTTGTAGCAATAACCACTAATGCTGAATCAGCAATGATGATGGCCAAATGACAAGTTATAGTGAAATACCCAACTATTTTACCTATAAGATGCATTGCGCATCACATCCAACTCATTTAAAGTAGTATTTGTAAATTACCATATGTAAAAAAGGTTCTAACTAACTGTCAAACTATTATAAGTTTTTTCAGGAATTCTTACTTAGTTGGTGCTGCCCTTAGAGAAGAGATTATATTCTCTTCTACTGTTGGTGGAAATTTAAAATCAACGACTAAAACTCGGTAGTCAACTGTATGGGATTCTTGTGAATCTCTATTATGTAACGAAGCAAACATCAGATCAGTAAGTAATGGGTTTCAAAAAATTAATAAAAAAATTAAGTATTTATAAATTAAATAGAT